ACAGACGTTTAAAGTGTTGTTTACGTGACGTCACAATGTAGCGCCAAACAGCACGTGCAAAATAATCAAATCAAGTACCCTATTTAAATGTCGCAAACGAGTTTAGTTTTACATTTATTTCACTTTTAATAATGTGTATTTCGCTTGGAAAATTATAAACTGAAATAAATAAACAAACAAAGTTGTATCAACGTTTTCAAAATTCGTTATTTTCAAAATGTTTCTACACACGGTAGATTTAACGACAGTTTTTTTTCCAACCCACTGGAACGGCCTTTAAAGAACGTTTCTATTGGAAACTGTGAGGCGAAAACAAATTCAACCACCAAACATAAAGTCCAACGTTATAATAATAATTATATTTTTTCTTGACGTGTTAGAATGGAAATAGATATCAATTCTTCGTACATTATTGTATAATAATGCATTTTTTTGTTCAATTGCTTTGTAATTAATCACTCAGGCCTGTCGACCTTCGTGATTATATTACTACGCATTTGAACTCAAACCGTGCATTATTCTACAACAATGCACTCAAAATTGATATCTATTTCCTAATTAAAAGATATAATTAGAAATTATGCATGATAATGCAAGTTGAAAATATAAAACTATAGAAAATATTCATATGGTCTTTACACAGTGTATAGTATCGAAATTATTTTGTTCAAACAGAGAATTGACTTTAAATTTTGATAACGATTTAAAAATGGCTGACTTTGATTAAATAACACATTACCTTGTAATTCAATAAGCCGAAGACACCTTTTTGTTTAAACTCGTTTATCATTGACACAGACAGGCAGATTGACAGCAAATTGCATTGTCGTAAACAGTAAAGAAAAAATTGTTCCAAACAAAATAACATAACAGTCTGATAGTTCCATTGTTTGTAAATTGATAGGCGCAGTTATTGTAACATTTACAAAAATATTCATACAGTTTTGCTAAATATATTTGAAGATGTTTACATTTTGCAACAAACTTTAGAATAAAGTTGTTCACACCCCAATTTCCATAAACATTACAAATACGTTTAACATTCAATTGTGATTTGGAAATCTTTAATTAAATACGTTCAATTTCATTTAATGTAGCAAAACCCCATATTTCATATCCATAATTGAGAGTATCTGCAAGAAAGGCGTCAAAAAGATGGTAAATAACGCTATTAAATATTAAAACATTAAGACTTTCAAGACCATTACCAGCCAATGTTTTTCTTTTAGTAAAATTATACTATATCGCCTGCAAATACGTTTAATTTTTAAGAATTTCAAAATTAATTAATTAGATTATATTTTCTCAGATGGACATTCTTTTTTGTCGTTAGAATTGCTTTAAAAAAGTGATAGCAATGGTGTCAACAGTCCGACTGCATATAGTTACGCGATTAAATGGCAAATCAGTGAAAAAAGCAAGTTTATTAATAAAATTTATTTAAATAAGGAAGCGTACGTAGAATATCTTTTAAATAATTTTCAATTAGACTTTGCTTGACAATACTGTAGAGGAAATTACTAACATCTATAATGAATCCGCCAAAGTTGTTTTACTAAGGATAAATTCGCACATTAAGGTAAATAGGAAGGGCACATGTCGGTCAAAAATGAAATAAATAAACTCTTGTACGGGCCTCACTGTCGTAACAACCGATAGTAATATATATATATATATACCGAGCAAATAAATCTGATAATAATCGATGTGTTCACAACCGTGCAAGTACAGACTATAAACATACAATTAAAATTTACATGAATACGCTAAACAATCAGGCCAAGCTAATAAAAATGCTGAATTCCGATCCCAAATTGAACTGGAAATATTTAAATAGTCACTAAAAATTCAAATAGAGAAAATAAGAATCCCTAAAGATAGCTTAACACGGCAAAATTGAAAATGTTGCAGGCTCGGTTTGATTGAGGCTGTTCATGGACGGTACTGTCAAGTGCAAACTACCGTCCGAGCCCCCTAGCACCGGCTTAAGCAGAATTCAACATTTAACATGAATTGGTACAATTTTTAATTTTGAAACATCTGCAGATGTGTTCATATGGCGGTTATCATGGAACCTTCAATGTGACACGTAACTGCCATTCCATGCAAAGCGGCATATGGTCCCCAAGTAAAAAATGGACGGAACTAAAAAAATGGAATTTTGAAAGGGGATCAGAGGTTATGAAGCCTGCATATCACAGATAAGACGTCAAAAGACAAATTTAAAAAGCAGGCAAAATATCCTAAGGGTGATTCAACAGTTTTCAAGTGAGGAATATTGGAACCACCAGTTTGAAATAAATAAGATTGATTTACGGAAAATTAAATCTGGAATTAAATAATAAAATGTAAAAATGGTAAAGCAGCAAGCAAGCCGGAGATATAAAATCTACAGAACACATAATATTGCAAATATGTTCAGGCATTTTTCCTTATATTCGTTCAGAAAGCTTTATTATCCCTATATTTACACTGACTTACCGAAATACTACAGAAAACAAGTACAAATGTTGCTGCAATGCACATATTGAGAAGCTCCGCGCAAAAAATGCGCTCATTACAGATATCTTACCAAATCGTTCTTAAGCACAGGCCATGTTCTATTCAGATTAAGTACTATTGTCAATTATTCCGGATGTTTTGTAAATTATTTTTGCACAATTATACTTATCGTATGCACTATTCATGGGAGAGGAACCAGATATTAAATTTAAAAAAAATGTTTTCACGAATGTCTTCCTGGTAAGGAAAGTAATTCCATTGAATACAAACAAGACTTACAAGACTTGTTAATGTAATGTGTGACATGACAGTACTTCAACATTGTTCTGTTTGTGTCACTACTGTAGTCAGTAATATAAGATGATAAGAAATATCAAAGCATGTACATTTTTTGTTCACCTATAATGCTACTCATTTTCTACAAGTAATATCATTGATTTTGACCCGTACTCGGCTTACAAACATGTATTACTCTATGTCTACGTACCGAATCGTTGTGCCGCAATTTTGTCTACTAAGGGAGTTTTAGCACTTATGCGCTCGTTTCCTGATAGATACGGTATTTCATGAACGGGAAGAGCTAGTGACTTGGGGTCGGTCTCATTTTGAAGCTTTATACAAACGTTAAAAAGTGATAGAGGTTTATTTTAATTCTCTGGACAATTGTTTTCACAACGGCCCGGGAAATGAACCCAATGCTCGTAGGCTCGAATATTGAGTTTCTGGCCTTCTCTTAACTTATAGTATATTTCAAAGGGGGTTATATGTTACTTTTGTTTGGGGGGGGGAGGGTTTGACACATTTAAGATAGACACAGGATTTTTATCAATCTGGTTAAATTTGTTTCTTCCCAGGTCCGATACTCGTGCCTGTGGGAGCTATATACGGAAAAGACAATTTCAAAATGATAATACTATGATATAACAATTCGTGAAAAATGGCCTGATATTAAATTTATAAAGAGTGCACTTTAATGTTGAATATGTTTGCATTTCATTTCCTGCAAAATTCTCCAGATTGTTATTTATTATCATAGCGCGACACGAATGACCGGTTCGTTTAGACTAAAACTACTTTTATAAATAGATACTTTCTTCGTACTTTCATAACTTTCATAATTGTAAGGTCATCTAGCTATTTATAGCTTTCAAATTCATGTACTGCACTAGAAAAAAACATACATAACCCACAGTGTACCATAAAATAATAATTAATTTCTGTAAAATATACACATGTAAGAAAAAAAATCACCGAATTTAAGTTTATTTTTACGTTGTCTTTTATACTTCTTTCCCATCAGTTGAGGCGTGAACGTCGTTCCCGTTTTCATTTATTAATAAGCCATGCTGCGAATTCTTGATTCCGAATTTATTTTTTGCTGTACATCGTTGGGATTATTTGATAAAAATCGGGTCCATGGACAAAAAAATAGCCTGTGGGCGCGGAGCAATTATTGTACTTTAGTTTTAAATTAAAGTGAACCAAATTTGTAGAAACTAATGAAAGGTGAATTAAATTTGTAGAATCTCATAGCATTATTTATGTAAATCAAGCTGGCTTTAGAACAATTCACTCGACTAAATATCATGTATTAAGCTTAAACTATTTTATAGAATTAAAGCTTATATCTACTGTCCGTATTTGTTGAGCCTTCATTATGATTCGGATTTCCTGAGAAAGCTCTTTGTTAAATGCAATCAAACCGTCCTTTAACGGTAGGCATTAGATAAAATATCAAAATGTCGGTGTCCGTGGAAGTCAAACAAATTGTTGATTGTTGTTAGAAAAACAATGTTTGAAGTTATATGAAACAAATAAACTGGAAATAATAGACTCAAGTTTTTATGGTCACGATTCTTTGCCAGTTTACCTGCCGGCTCTATGCATAACGCCATGTTTGTTCTCAAAATCGTGAAAATTGCTTACTTAATTCTTTTTTATCAGAAGTTAAAAATAAAAACCGCATCGCTTTCAAAATTATGAAAGCTCGCCGATGATTGGTTGTTTAAAAGGTTATGGGAAGGTGATATCCTATTGCTGACTGTCAGAGCCTAATGCGTTGCGTTATTTAGGAGCTGAGTTTAATCAAATTGTGGTCTATATCTACATCAAAAAGAAAATTTGTTTCGAAAAAATATATTCCCTTTAAATACTACTTTTGCAACAATATTTTCTTGCTAAACGGTCTACAAGGATCACAAATATAACATATATTCCAAACAGATAAAACACAATGAATATATCAGAATAGATACAACTAAACATTATCATGTCGCATGATTAACTGGCAGTAGATATAATTATTTTTATCAAAATGAATACAGTTTATTGAAACGATATACACAATATATTGAAACTCCATGTAAAATTTGAGTACTGTGAACAAAATTAATTATTTATTTACCTCCATGTTGAAATATTTAAGCATAAAAAGGTCAGCTACATACTATATATACAACTGTTAAGATTATCATATGTAATAATATATTAAATCAAACCTGAAATCGTGACATCTTCGCCTTTGAATTTTATTTCCAAGTGAACTATATAAGCTGTGTGTTAATTATGATTGCATCAACTTTTAATGCAGTACACACGGGGGAGGAAGTGTTACACGAGGAATTGAGTTCTTATGATAACTTGTCAAGGAGTTATTGTGATAACTGTAACGGAGTTCGTCGGAAAACTATTGTATATACTGCAAAAACACTCGTCAAAAATGGTTAAAAAGTAAGTTTTAGGTGCTAAATAAATATTTAATGATTAAGCTTGCCTTACATATTGCATTATGTGTCAAAAACTAATTCATAGTCCATTTTTTATCGCTTCTTGCTTAAAATCTGGTAGTTTTGAGTAAAATTTCCAAATTATATGCCATTTCGCAAGTATTGGCCTGTTCATTTCAAGTCTTCAAGCCGGTTCTAGGGGGCGTGAGGGATGTTGCACGTATTCATTATGCCTCGTGTACAGACTCAATCAAACCGAGTCTGCAATTCTCTTTTAATTTTGTTGTGATTAATGCTTCCAAGGGATCACTTTGTTTCCAGATTTTTATACTTCACAACAGCAGGTGTCAAGTGCTGTGTGGCAGCTGTAAAAAGTTGCCCCGTACTTCACTTCAGTGTTGTTTTATTGTTCTGGTCCTTCGGGATCATTGATGCCAGCACTATTAAGTGTTGAGAATTGAGTACCGCTCAAGCCGGTGCTAGGGGGCGTGAGGGATGTTGCACGTATTCATTATCCCTCATGTACAGACTCAATCAAACCGAGTCTGCAATTCTCTTTTATTTTTGTTGTGATTAATGTTTCCGAGGGGTCACTTTGTTTCCAGATTTTTATCCTTGCTATACATAATTACCTAATTATAATGAATAAAAATGCCAACATGAAGCCCAAGCTAACAAATTTATATCCGATTTTTCCAATGTCCCGGAATTCTTGTAATAACTCAAAATATGTCCTGGAGTTCTTATGATAACTTTTGTTACTGCCAATGTGTTTCTTGCGCTAAATCATGGCACGTTTTAGCGTTCTTTTATTATTTAGTAAGGTTGTAAATCATTATGAAATGTAGTATGCTCATCCTTTGCACAAAAATGAGGATATATAATGTTGGTTTTGACAAGTTATCATAAGAACTCCATCCCTCGTGTAGCACTTCCTCCCCCGTGGTACAGGTAGGCGTCAAATATTGATTTGTAAGGCCGATATGAATCGTGTTCAACATTAATATTAGATAGCGAGCCGCGCAGAGAAAACCACAGGACGTTGGAATTTTATCTAAATAAACAAGTTCAACATAACCTCCTCTTTAAGAAGTAAATACGAGAAATTCAACGCATTTGCCCCGCGTATTACGCATTTGACAGAATTATACGAATAGATCAACAATTGTTAATACATTAGTAAGTCTACACCATACAGAAATGCTAAAATTGATGATTTCGTTGCTTTTATCTTCCAAGTAATTGATTTTAAATTTCCAATCTCTGAAACATCAGATCATCGTTTTCTCTCGACTGGTGAAAGGCAGCGGATCATCAAATAGGATATGATCTTTATGGGATTGTTTAATTTCACTTACATATTAAACAAAATTTTTAAGACCCTGTTTGGGATTTTCAAATTATCAAATTTTAAAAGTAAGAAAATAATTTATTTTTTTTTTTCAATTTTATCTAAAAAAGGGCACCTAAAAAAACAAGGGTTGTTTTGCAAATATGTCTTAACATTTATCCCAAAGGATATGAAAAAAAAAAATAAAAATATTTTGGAAAAATGGGGGGGGGGGGGGGAGGGGGCAAAAAATGTGACATTTTGGGAAAACAGTTCTAGGGAACCCGTGTGTTCAACCCTAATCAATAAAATTTTAAAGTAGCCCCAGAGGAAAAATAATGTAGGTTGTCCTAGAAAATTTTTAACATTTTAAAGGAAAAAATTATCTCTCAATGTTCTTAATAAAGTATATAGAAACTGGAGTTTCTCCATTTATTAAGACATAAAAATAATAATGCAGGACAAAAATTCAAATGTTTGATACAGACAAACGGGCCTTTAAATGGTTAATGGTAATGTATTAATAGATTTCGTTTTACATAGAGAGGGCAATCGAATAATTCAAATAGCTCAAAATACGCTACTCAGAGTAGCTAATTATGAATAAGCAACAATTAATGCAATTATACAAATATTATTTCAATGCGTCTAGATTGTGAAACACTGCGCTATCATATTATAAAACATGTTGTTGTAAATTGTTATAGAATGTTGAAATTGTAAAATGTAGTTTAAAACTTTGTATTATTTATTTGGAAAATAGTTTTTTTGAGATATATTACTAATATAAGTGATTTCGAAACTAAATTTAAAGAACTTATAAGCAGACGTCTTCATTACAAAAAAAAAGAAATGTTGAAATCATTTTTTTAAGAATATCAATTGTATTATGTTTTTCTATTGAAAATTTAAAAAGACATGGGAAGGGATAAGAAACTCGTTAAAAATGTTAAAAGTTTTTGCAGTACTTGGGTTACAGAATCATTTACACTTTTTCATAAGTTTTTAGAAAGGAAAAACTTTTAAACGGTGATAAAATATAAAAATTTTAACAGCATCTAAAATATATTTTAAGGGGATAAAATTTCAATTTTCTGTAAAAAAATCATATATTCAAAAAAGTGGGATGTTTTTGTTTGAAAATATACTTTTCAGTATAATGTTTAAATTAAAGTTCCCAATTTTTTTTTTTCTGCTAAACTTCACTTTTAAAACTTCATGCTAAATTTGAAATTTTTAAAATTAATCTTATGGTATGCATTTTTTAACAACCATTTTTCTTTATTTTTTGCACATTTTAATATAGTAAATATTTTTAAAATTTATATTTTTAAACATGTTAATTACTTAACTGTGGAAAAGGAGAGTATGTTACTTTGAACTAGATGTGTGTGAAAACGTTGGTTAATGCACCAGCCTATCAATACAACTACATATGTTAAGCGTAGTGTGATGCAGGTTTTATGGAGGTGCTGGAGGGGGTGAGGAGATAGTTTAGGTTCCCGTATTCATGATATTTTGTTAGAAATAATTATATTTGAGCCGTAATTTTCTTCGTTTTATAATATTTTATAATAATATTCCGTTAACCTGTAATTATTAGTGATTTATTTATTTTTGGTATTTATTTAAAAATCCTGTAGGCATTATATAAACACACATCTTAGTAAGTCCATTTTTTGTTTTTAAAATAGTTACCTTTTTTCATATTTACACCAACAGTTTTGACCGGTCAAAATAACAAATATATATGTACATGTACATTAACATGCACCGCAGAAAACTGCGGCACTAACACTTTAAACTTTATTACATGTTAAGTGTCTGACTGCCTGAATCCTTTGAAAGTTTTTTCTCTTCTATTAATACAAAAATAATTGTTACAAAGGTTCTAATAATTAAACAATAAAAAAATGACCCTAAAACAGGAAAATATTAACCAATGAAAAAACATTTTATTAAATATGAAATTATAAATTTGACCAATAAAAATGGTTCAATTAAGACTGATTAACACGCCAGATGTCAAATGTCAGCGGCCTGTTAATTCCTTTCTTTAAGTTAAACAGATAATCAGATAAGAAACCTTCTGAGGGATCACTTTGTTTCCAGAATTTTGTACTTCACAACAGCAGGTGTCAAGTGCTGTATGGCAGCCGTAAAAAGTTGCCCCGTACTTCAATTCAGTGTTGTTATATTTTCTGGTCCTTCAGGATCATTGATGCCAACACTATAAAGTGTTGAGAATTGAGTACCGCTCAAGCCGGTGCTAGGGGGCGTAAGGGATGTTGCACTTATTCATTATCCCTCATGTATAGACTCAATCAAACCGAATCTGCAATTCTTATGTTATTTTGTTGTGATTAATGCTTCTGAGGGATCACTTTGTTTCCAGAATTTTGTACTTCACAACAGCAGGTGTCAAGTGCTGTGTGACAGCCGTAAAACGTTGCCACGTACTTCACTTCAGTGTTGTTATATTTTCTGGTTCTTCAGGATCATTGATGCCAACACTATAAAGTGTTGAGAATTGAGTACCGCTCAAGCCGGTGCTAGGGGGCGTGAGGGATGTTGCACTTACTCATTATCCCTCATGTCTAGACTTAATCAAACCGAGTCTGCAATTCTTATGTTATTTTGTTGTGATTAATGCTTCTGAGGGATCACTTTGTTTCCAGAATTTTTTAAATAAATGTTGTAAATAAAATTAATAATAATAATTATGTTGTTATACATGTGACGTAAATAAACATAAATGTGTCAAACACGTAAATTGCAATAAACATGTTAGAGGTCTGGCAAATTAATAATTTACAAATTTTTGAATTTAATTATTTAAAAACTTTTTATAACATAAACAGAAAAATATAATAATTTTACGAAAAGTATTTTAAAAAAATTAAATGAAAAAAATACAGCATAACAGTAGGCAGCACAACCAAATAAATACGACTAAATATTTATTGTATTTCAATGGTCTGATAATTCAAAGTCATGTGGGGACCTGTGTATAAACAACAAAACAGAAACAATGGTTTGAATTAATTTATAGCTATATCGAGTTAGCATTACATAGAGGATATTAAATGTGTAGCTTCAATTAATTGAATAGAATATAATATGCGAGCTTCTGGCACACACCCACCCACTCAAGCACGCATGCACGCGTATAAACACACATGAACACTATATCAAGGTCATTGTTCATATGCAACATATTAACATGTAAATGTAAGTATATCACATAATGGTATTTATTCAGCAACATTACTTTTACCTACCGTATATAATTGACAAGTATGTAACATGTTTTCTTAATTTATATATCATTCCAATAAAACATTACATTCATCTTTAAGCTATAGCAAATATCACATTTTCTTTCATTAATTATTTATAAGTAATAGCTTCAGATTTATTCCATCTACTAGTTTTTACTTTTAATTAATTTGAAGAAATGCTAAAGCGGGATTAAGATTTCCTGAACTTTACAATATTAACCATTGACAGACATGATTGCAAGACAAAAATAACAAAATGATACATTGCTCTTGATGGATCTCTTAGTTTTGTATACCAATATATAA